ATTTATTCAGATTGACGCCAAGTTTTCCATTGTTAATGCAGGGCCTAGGCTTTGGTTTGTTTCTCTGTGCTGGTTTGTTTCTCTGTGCTGGTTTGTTTCTCTGTGCGCCCTGCATGCCATTAGTTGAGCTTGATGTTACGCAGATTTGCCAACACTAAGGGTTGTTTTATTTTCTCTGATTCTTAATTCTGTTAGAGCCCAACCTTATTTTCAAAGGCTTGTCAGCACCAATATGGTAACATGTGTTTTTGCTTCACAGAGGAAGAGACTAACATTAGCATTTACTGCCTGATAATGAGGTCAAAGTTAACTCGAACACTCTGCCCTTACTCTGTAAATGGGATGCAATATTATTCAGTTCAGGGTTTGTTAGAAAGGTTCAGATATTGTGTAATTGTTGCCTTATGTATCTGATAATAGTCACAATATTACTAGTCAAATGGCTGTAGTGTTTTCTAGTGGAGTAGGTGCAGTGGCTTAGTGTGCTGGGTTTCAACTATATTCATTTGTAACAGTTCGTGTCATATCAAGAATCACATATATCAAGGATATCATTCTTTTACTGGACGTCTTTTAGCATGTAAACTTATGTTCATGAGCTGTTGGAATAGGCAAACTTACACTCTACATTTTACATGATTAACTGATTGTCAAATTGAAATCATATGTCAAAGTTTATATATAAGCACAGCTACTAGGACTGTCTGACATTTAAAACGCTGTTCACTGTCTGCTGAATATTTTAGTGAGAGCTGAAAAAAAATTTTAAAATAGAAAAAAAAACCTTAATGATGTGAAATGTTGCCTAGCATAAAAGTATTTATGTAACCTCCAGTGTGCTACTTCAAGTTTACATTGTTCTCACTTCTAACATTGGTGCTCATATAAACAGTCTGCTTTGTGTGTTTATTATTATACCAAAAGAAGTCTCTTTTGATTGTTCTGGTTTGTTTTCTTGATGTCACTGAACATAAGGCAGAAATCGTGATTTAGCTCATAAAGTGCACTTTCTAGTGAGATTTAGAAGACTGGAGCGTGAACATGAATGCAGCCAACATGGTTATCCACATCGGAGAAGAGCTGTGTTCTTTCCCACATCCCTAACAGCACACAGGGTAACACAGATCAGGCCAATGAAATAAATACACAGTAAACAGTATACACGGCAAATAAAGGTATGGACAGTAGGATCATACAGTGTGTCATGCTGAGTTCTGCTGCTCTCTCTGGAGTGAAATTGCCCTGCTACCATCAATTTTGCCATTGGCTGACATGCAAATGTCTCATAAAGACTAATGATTTTTCTTCTTTTCTTTTCACAGTTTCAGCGGCAGATGAGGACAAAGGTGGGCATTATTTGAACAGAAGCTTAGAAAAGTCAAATTAAGTAAGCTGCATGCTCATTTTAGGCAAACAAAACGGTACTGGCACCAAACTGGCTAATGACTTGATGAATGACTGAGGCCCTAAAACTGCTGAAAAGCTGTCAGTACTCTCTGAAGTGGGTCAGTGGCTAAATCTGCCTCTCATTTGTTTCCTCTCTCTGTTCTCCCCTACCAGACTATGACAGTGCTTTTCAGTATGGTGAGTGTTGAGCAGATGAACGCTGTCTTTTAATGGCCGGCCCGCTACACAGGAAACATCTGGGAGGTCGAGACCAGTTTTGCATTTTCCACTTGTTTTTCCAGAAGTGATGGAAAATGTTCACCCCAAGGCCAAGCTTCTGGAGTAACCCCACTGCAAATACTTGCCTGCCCACTCTGCTTTAGGCCTGATTTTCAGTCCTTCTAAGGCAACAAAGTGCACAGAATGTCTCAAATTCTGCATTGATATTTTATACCTACCATCAATTGTGTACTTGCTGTAATCTTTCAATTGATTTGGGCAATAGGCAATTTTTGGTGGTGTTCTGTATACCTATACTGAACCATTCTAACCACTGTCTATGCCTCACTGAGACACCACTAAAGCAGTGGTTCCCAAACTGAGAGCTGGGGTTCCTCACGTGGTCCCTCTGGCCTCAAATAATCCAGTCTCAAGTAGACAATACTTCATTTTAAAGGGCCACAAGCCAAAAAGCCAAAACTGTTGAGAACCACTGCATTAAAGAATTGATGAAGCCTGCTGGCAGCTGAAAAACTCTGACTGTATGCAGTGTATTCGTGCTTCTTATGCTTAAAAAAACTTTTATTTGATTTATTCAGATGTAGTCACTGTTTATTGCTCTTGCCTGCAGTTAGGTGCCATCCTGCTAATTAACTAGCTGACTAGACTAGGCAATACTTGATGCATGTAAACAAAGCTGTGATCTTATTTGTACCTGTACTAGGATTATCTAGTCATAATAACTCTAAGCCCACATCTACTGCTGCCTGCCTTGATTTGTATAGACATATTATTAATGGAATCACAAATATTTTTCCCATGATGCTTAACAGTTGTACAAGTCTGATCTCTTCTGCACTGTTTTATCTAGCCTTATTGGAACAGACAACAACAGAGTTAAAGTTGAACTTAGTGTTTACAGATTTGTTGACTGCAGCTCATAGGAATTTGTGGTGTCCTGAAATAACCATTAGGAGGCCGCAGAATATTTCTGAATGCTCCTCTTAAATCAAAAGGCCTCCCAAAGGTCTTCAAAAAGCTTTTTAATTATTGTATTTAGTCATTTTCATATGTTGCTGCTCATGTCTACAAGCACTATAAAGTACTTTTTTTAATATTTCAGATTATGAATCTCTGAGAATCTGTGGCCTGGTTTTCGCAGTGGTGCTGTTCCTTATGGGTATCGCACTCATCGTCAGTAAGTGTTTGACCCCTTTAGGTACATAGATGTGTAATGCCGAGTATCAGCGTCACCAAACTGTGATCCCTGTATATGCGAGTTGACCTAAGAGTCTGCCAAATTCATGCGGTGCTGCAAAACAAAGCAGGCTTCTGTCTGCCTCAGACTGGTAGGGAGGCACACTGAAGCTTCTTGCACAATCTCAGCACTCGGAAATCACACAGCAATTTGCCCTTTATACCTTATCCCTCTCCTCCCTCACAAAGTGTCCTTCCAAGGTTCCTCCTCCTACCTGCCAGCACATGCCGTTACTGCCAGCGGTAGCCCTGAAACCAAAACCAACCGATAAATAATTCACTGGAACCCACACACTCTGCCACACTTTCTCTCTGCTTGTGTCAGTCAAGATCATGTGGATTCCTAGCTGCGCTCTGTGAAGGCGTGTGCAAGGCTTTTTAGAAGGCAAGAGAATATGAGTGGTCACATTAACTGAAATAATTTAAAAGTGCAGATTATTGAAAAGAACGGAGCCTGCTATCACCACTTAAATATTTGACAGGTTATTAAATATACATATTTACAGTAGAATTGAATAAGTCATTAATGTTTTCTTGCTGCCATATGTGTGTTTACATCTGTAGTGATTGTAAACATTGAACTAAATCTATTCTCCATTTTTCTTTTAATCAATGGCCACAGGAAAATTCTGACCTTGAATAAACTTCAACTTGATATGGTCTTAAAAATGATTGGGCCTTTTCAACAAGTGATTGCATTAAATACTGCTGTATTGATAAAAGTAAAACATCTGTTTGATTGAAGAACCTTGACTTGACAAGCAATTGTGAAAGCATGATTTGACAAGCAATTGTGAAAGCATGACAACAAATGTATTTTGAAAATTGCATTCAAATAAAAACCATCATTGATGGCAGTAAGCACCCTTTAGCGCCTCTCTGTGTCCAAGTGAGTGAATAAAGGAGGTTATCTTTCAAGATGCTCACAGCTTTATTCTTAGTGCTGACAGTATGTAGGTCACTAGCCTGGTCTGGGGTTTCCCAGCTATTTTGCTACCTACACCAACTATTCCCATAAGTATACTATAGCAACATTAACCGATTTGACACTGATTAGACTCGTGCATAAAGCGTAAAGAATAAACCATAGTGCCAGTCTGTGGGCTAAATATGTTTCATCCTTCATCAAGGCCAAACAAGGCCATGTCAGCATAATGTAAAGACTCAATAATGTTTTACAACAACAGAGAGCAGAATGCAGCCTGCACTAACACTGGACATATCCAACATGGTTTCATGGATATAGACACTGTGTGTGTGGGTGACTTGAAAGAAAGAGTATCCAGGTGCTGAAGATCTCTTGTGTGAAAGAGTGTTAACATTGCATCACCTGTTCATCTATGATGTTAATGGGCAAACTGGGGTGGGTTAAATGTTAAAACTCTTTTGTAGACTTGCACATAATAAAAATGCTACTAGCTGGAAGCTATTCAGCATACTGGCTCCGGGATTTTGGGTAATGTTAAACAACAGAATTTTGCTGGGATTTAAGTATGAATGAATATAGTCTTAAGCTCAGGCCAATAAGCTGCAAGGTCTCCCAGGGCTTGCAGCCCAGATGGGGTTATTGGCACAAGCTCAAGACTGCATTCATGTAACAATCAAGGCTTGGAGCAACCTCTTTTAGTACTCAAGGAGGGTTAGGGGTGCACCGCCGACTGTTATAGTTGCACACATTCTTTTTATAATTTCACATGTCCCTTTTGTCCAACAACAGAATGGCCGCTTAAGATTTGTATAATTCTTTTTTGTGTGTGTTTTCCCCCAAAACAGCCCGAAAATGTACCTGTTCGAAGGGTGATAAGCCAAGGTAAGTTAAGTTGAAGTCAGGTCAAACAAACCAGAGCCTTATCTGTAAAATCTGTAAAACTATGTATATAATTTTGTTTTCTGTATATCAATTACCACTTCCAGCTTTGAAAATCTTGTGTTGCACAGCCCATTTTATCTTACATGCAATTCTGAAGTTGCTAATTGGAAATTTTCCTCGGCTACAGGGGTCCTAATGTGGAATCAGGTGTTCCAAAGGGTATGTATTTTTTTTCTTCTATTATAATAAAAATAAATGTGAAATGCCTATCAAGTATATGCATGCATTTTTGTTTGTTTGTTTACAAAACAGTGATGTAAAACTCTTTCAACAGCTTAGTAGGCACAGAGGCACACAGCGGTGGAGATAATGGTAAGTGTTTTACAAACATCTGTGAGTCTGTTTCCTGCAAAATGAAGCTGAAAGAGATTGTTTCAGAACAAATCAAACTTATCTTCCTCTTTCCCGCAGTGTTACTGGCTGTTGCCTTTAGGTGGCAGCAAATATTTTGACACAGCTGAGGACAATCTTTCTGTGGCTGCATGAAGCTTCCTTCCAATTTCTAATTGATGTTACTGCCCTCCCTTTTTAAATAAAAGTGTTTTATCATTTGTGAACTAGATAATGTGCTAGCTTTATATGGTGGCAATAGTCTGATTATCAATTGTATTTTTGTGACTTTCAGATTGATGCAAAATAATAAAAGAAATGTTTGAAAAGATTTCCTTCTATCTTTTTGAATGCCTCATTATTTCGTTTTCTCTGTCATTCGAGATAGCCTAGGGAACAGCACTCTTATTACGCTGCATTCCTGCTTCTGCTGACGCTGCCGATAGTTGAGTTACACATGGAGTACTAACTAAGCAGCAGTGAGAGTGTGAATGATTTATGTGCTGCATTGTGCAGCTCTTGGAGAAGGCAGTCTTAAAAGAAATACAATTAATTTTACCTATCTTGGTATTTGGTGCTGTTTACTGGCAGATTGTCCACTGTTGGAATGCAAAAGCTGCACATGCAGGCTATATTTTCTCCCTAGAACTGCAGAAAGGGGCTGACTGCACTGCACAAAAGATAACACAAAAGACAGAAACTGGTGCTTTATGCAAGCTCATGTTTATATAGTAAACATAAAATAAATATTCTGCAATATATAAAAAATATGGCATTAAGGAATGTTGGAGCAAAAAACACAATGCAGACATTATAGTAACAATCCATAAACAGCTAAAATACCACACAAGACTTTCATGGTACTTAGTAGATTGTTGAATTTATTTGTTGTGTGTATTTTGTAGTAACATTGCATTAGCTGTTCACCCTGTTATTTATTCTAACTCTGGGCTGCCCACTTCCCCTTGTAGTCCCCATCCTGGCAGATTTGTTTCCCACTACTGCGAATGCAATGTTTCGATGTGGCCACCAGAGGGTCCCTGCTGAAGCTTCTGAAGCACTCCTGCCTACAGTCCTGTCCAGCTACAACCAATCTTAAACTGCAGCCCAGCAACCTGCTAAATTTCTGGGAGACAGAGGTCTACCGCATCTCTACAGTACAGCCATGGCCACTACAGGTTTGACTGTTTTTTCTCCTTTCATAGGATTTTTTAAGGGTGTAACATACATTAAACAATAGTAAGCTCTACAGATTATTATTATTATTATTATTATTATTATTATTATTATTATTATTAGTGTGATCATTTTGTGATATTTAATTTGGCTAAATAAACTGAATTGTTTTATATTGATACCATCTTTTTTATCTTGTTAATCAGCCTGCTGCATTGTTGCTACAGTGCCAAAAAACAATTTACTGCTGATGCATGTTTGCAGCACAGTCCTGTTAGTTTTGATTTTCTGGATTGAAAACAAATACAGTTCTTTCGTAAACCTCCCACTGGGATGAAAAAATAAACAATACTAAAAATTATGTTTAGCACTTGTTTCTGTCAAACTGTGAAGCCTTTGTGGCAGAGAGAAAACAAAGAAACACAAACTGCAACCTCAGCCACTTGGGAGTGAGGGTTCAGCAACATGCAAGCCGCATTATTGACGACCAGATATCCTAACAATCTGGCACAGGCTGTAGCCTGAAACACACTTATATTTGCAAAATGAATCACTGTATTGGTCAAGAGTAGACATCTTTCTTAACAGTGTTGCATTAAAAATAAACCCAGCTGTCATTTAAAGTGGTTAAGCCTTTCAAACAGTTTTTATTATTCAAGCTTTCTTTCTTTGCTGCTGTGATGATACCACTGTATCCTGCTGCTGGCTTGTAACCCACTTTTTCGTGGTGCATTTTTTTCTGCTGAGCAAAGATGCTGCATCAAGCTCCTCTCAGTGGTAAAAAAAATTGTCCTAAGGAGTTGTGGAGCCAAGCCTGCAGATTTGGAGAGATGCAAACCTTGCTGTCCACGGTGCTGGACTGAACACACACCCTTAAAGCTTACTGTTTCTCTTTCTTTGCAGAAACAATGTTTCCAGACCGAAGTGACTTTGATTATGGTAAGATTTATACCATATACTGATTTAAAATAATCAAAAGAACCATGTTTAACATCAGATTTTGTACTTTTACTGCAGTATGTTTTAAGTCCAGGCTAAACTCTAATGGGTTTGTTTGGTTAAGTCACATACTGTTTTCTCCCTTGTAGATTATGAGACACTGCGCACCACAGGGGTTACCCTTGCTGTTATTATGTTTGTCGCTGGCATTTTAATAGCCCTGAGTAAGTTTAGACTTTCTCTCACATATCACTTAATTGCAGAGGCTTTATGACATGTACATAAGCACCTTTTACCATTGTAACTAATATACAATTCCTCAAACAGGTAAAAAATTCACAAAATGTGTAAAATCCTCATCCAAGTAAGAGTTTAGTGGATGATCCGCCCGTGCATGCTGTATGTTTTTGACTTGAAGGGGATACCCAACTAGTGTGGAAAAACATCTTTGCCAGTATCGTTCTTTCACTAAAACTGAGTTTCCCACAGCTTTTTTCCTACCCCTGTCCTGGATGCCTCTAGTGTAAATACCCCCCCTCCCCTGTCATGCATACACAACCTTAAAACACACTTCCAACACAGAGAGGCCCTACACACATGTGTTTTTTCACATGTGGGTAGTTCTTTTGTGTTCTGTTTATCCCTTGCTATTGAAAAACATTTTTAAATGTATGCATCACACTCATGTGCTGGTAGTGTATATTTTAAGCTGAACGCATGACGCTTGTATGGCAAGACATGAAGAAAGACAAGAGCTGCTGTTTGAACAGGGCAAAAAGCTGCATATTTGGTCTATAGTTACACCCCAGTTACCTCAGAGCCCTGTGGCTTCAACTCCAAATCCAAATTCCAAGTTGAAGTTGTGGCCACAGCTTTCAAACAGCACAGTTATATTTCACAATTAGTGATCATGATGAATTGAAAAAAATACAAATATTTAATAATGTCCTCCCTTATTTCTTTTTGCAGGTCCAGCTCATCTGGTACCCAAATTCCAAAGACAGAGGGTAAGTTCAATTAACTGGAGAAAACTGTTCTCATTATGTGCTTCAATGCAATAGTGTTTATTTTCTCTCTGACTTGTTTCCTTTTGGTTTGCAGTACCTCCTCAAACTGTATAGTCAATATTGTACTTGAACAAGAAGAAGTTGTCACAGGAGCCACTCCAGCAAATCCACACCATGGCCATTCCTCTTATGGCTAATATACCTCTGCCATATGGATGATCAAGAAACAGGGTTTTCCAACGCATCCTACACTGGTGTCATTGAGTTTCCCACTGAATTCTGTAATGTCCTAATTGAGCAAAATATCTATCCTATAGGTTGCTCAGTATTGTTTGAGTGTTGGGACTATAAGCTGGTCTAAGGCAAAAAATAAAAAAATATCCCCAACCATGAGACTTGATACGGTACTGTTAATCAAACAAGTAAGTCTCTCTTCCTTACATTATATTCCTGTGAAACAATACAATTAAGAGCATGATTAAATATTTATAGACGAAATGCCCAGGTCAAAACAAAGAACTGCATGCATTCAATTGTAACAACTGTTTTTTGCCTTTATTTTTATTTATTTATGTTGATATCTTTAGGGCTTTTAAAAAAAAAACTAAAAGAAATAGCATGACAAAATGATGAAGAAAGCAATAATTAGAATACATACCAAATATAACATACTGAAATGACATAGCTAGCAAAGATCTTGATGAAAATTAAAAGGCAACATTCAGTAATGTATTTTATTTTGAAAATGCTTTGAAATATATATTAATGGAGGGAATGTGTAGTAAAGTGTTGATTTGTTGATTTCTTTTGTTGACAAAGGTATTATAATTGAAATTATTGTCTGTAAAACCTAAACAATGAGACCACTGTTTCAAATAAAGCTCTTGTCTACTCAACATGATGTCTTTGATAATCTAATAATAACCTGAATAAGAAGTTGAAATTATGTAAAGTAAAGTGAATATGCTGTAGAAATGAGAAAATATATTGTGTTGTTTACTTTCCTTTCCACTAACACAGGAATTTACAGTGTCTAATAACAGAGGTGACACATAAGTGAGAGGCAGCTCAAACCTTATTTATCACTGAAATTACAGTCAAAACCAAATCTCATTTCACCTGTGACTAAGGCTGATTGTCATAGCAGTGAACTCCGGAGGAAATTGAGCTTGAAAAATAAATACTCCTTAAATGTGACTGTTTACTACTGCTGTAGACACATCTTTCTAGTGGGATGGTGTATTTTCCATTCTGCTAATTTCAGTCGCCATATGTAAGTGGGACTGTTCAAAGGGTGCCCTTAACATCAAAACAATTGTATGGAACTTTAAATGCAGTGTTATTGTACCTTTATTCATGACTCATGAGTAAAATGTACAGTTAGTCAGACAATGTGTCACTGCACTTACTCATGTAATGTCTATGTGATAAGAACATTCATCATGTGTCACAATCAGTTTCAAATACATAATAATTTTACACAGTAAAGCTTCTTTTTCCACAAAGAAAATAAATTGTACCTGGTGTTATACACATAAGTATGATGCATACAGAGAGAAAGTTCAATTATATGATAGATCATTCTCACTTTGATCACACACATTCTTAACATAAGTACACATGTTGACTGAAATCAAAACCATCACTCAGTGTATCAATATGATAGCTTATCATGATGGGGGTTTTGACGAGAGAGTCAGAGGGGTTTCAGGGACATTGTCCTGGAGGTCATACAAACGATTTCATAGAAATCAACATTAAACTGGGAGTGTGGCCTATTAGGAAAGTTATTATTACTATTACACCTACACTATTAATACACCTTCCACTGTCTATACCTTCTATTTGCATTTGCAGATCACTAATGCTGTTCATGTAAAGGCTTTCATTTCAAAATGTCAAATATTTATCAAAAAATAAATAAATACATAAATTAAAGTGTCTCTAATTTTAAACACATGCCAATTTGTCAGCAACAGCAGGAGCATTTTGTGAAAAGGCTCGATGGAGGATGTCACATTTTGGAACAAAATGCTTCACCTACACATAAATATTTCACCCTGTGCGAGGAAAAATAAATAAAGCACTTAAGCAGGCAATTTAAGCTTTATGCATTAAAAGCATAATTTGTCTAATCCAATGTGAATTATATGTAGAGATTGATATGCCAAACTAGTTTATTAACAATATATAGGCCAGAGACTCCCAAAACCATGTAACAATAAATACCCTTCTCAACAGAGGCAACGTCTTATTCCCTCTAAATGGGGATTACAAGTGGTCCAAATCATTCCTGGTCCTGCAAGGACATGATACGTCGACGAGAAGAAGCGCTTCGTTTCTTCAGCATGAGCTTGAGCTACAAATGAAATAATAAATTAAGATGATAATGAATTACCCTTTATATAAACCTGAATAGCATGGTTAAACAGTGTGGATCTGGCTGGCTGTTAAAAATGATGGGCAGCTCACCTGCTCTCCCTGGACACCACTCTGCAGCAGGTGAGCTGGCTGGTCGTTCTCCAGGTTGCGGATGCTGGGATCAGCTCCTCTGCTCAGAAGCAGCCGCATGATCTCCTCCTGGTGGGGGTTGCCATGGAGACCAGCAGCCATGTGTAAAGCTGTGTGACCATGAGCCTATGGCAAAAGGGAAAATGCTACATGACTCAGATTGTCACTCAGACTGAGTCAGGTGAGTATTAAGTATATGTTTGTACATACACGTAAACCCACAAACACATGTATATTTAAAATCCAGTTTTGAGTTTCATGCCAGTGCAGGACTCACTTTCAAGTTGACAAATTCTTTCACATTCGGCAGGGGAATCCTCAGCAAATAACACACTAGCTCGATGTTCCCCTCCTTTACAGCCAAGTGCAGCACAGTCTTGTTACTTTTGATTTCCTGGAATTGGAGATTTGGAAGTGATGAAACAAGTCAGACTGAGACATTTAAGTGTTAAACAAGAAAGCGAAAACAAAAGAGAGAGTAGGGGGAAAATGGCTCGTAATATGACATCATAATGGTGAGATAGAGCCTGGGCACTTCCCCTTTGAACTGTATATTCTGACTAAAAGGTTAGGATTTAGCATATAGGACTTCTGTATGTGCCCGCTGCCCTACTCGCTACAAATTTTTCCATTCATTCATCTAGTACTTTTCTGTGACACATCTATCTAGGCCTGTGTCTCAGTGGACATTCAGAAAAGGGAGAGAGCTGTGCTGTACCTGGCTGAGCAGGGATGCCCCTGCATTGAGAAGCATCTGCACACAGGAGAGCTTCTCCGCAGCCTTGTTCTGAAGACTAACATCTGCCAGCCCACTGCTAGACAAAGCCTTCTTGGTGATACTGTGTGAAATGGCTGCACAGTGCAAAGGAGTCATACCTAAGGCAAAGAAGAACATACGTAACATTTTGATTAAGGCTCCAATGATATAAATATTTCTGAACTGGTGCTGGTCCAAATTATAATGTACATTAACAAAACTTCCCTGTTGGTTAATCATTTCATAGTAATACCAACTGCTAAAACAATAGATTACCTTCAAAATTACGGGCCTCTAAGTTGACAGCCGGCCTGCTACACAGAATTGCCTGCAAAAAACCCCAAAAGAATCACTGTTACGGTCTGCTCTGCATAGCTAACCTTTCTGCACTGCTGTGATAGTCATGCCAAAGTAGTTCAGTACTGCTGCTGCTTTACCTGCAGAACCCCAGGTAAGCCATAGTGGGCAGCCAGATGGAGGGCAGTTTGTCCTTTAACATCACAGGCATTGATGTCCGTTCCTAATGACAGCAGATCTTGCACAATCTCTGGCTGGTTTGCCGTCACCGCCACCAGTAAAGCAGTCTGCACAAGCACATGTTTATTTTGAGAAATTATAATCCTGTGGTCATGTTTATGATAAAAAGATACAATTTTTCAATTTGCATACTCTTTAAGATGTGTAGTTTTTTGTTCATACCTTTCCCTTGTGTTCTTTGGCATCAAGCCTGCCTATATCCCTCAGCCTCTCTGCAGCAGCAAAGGCACACTCCCTGAGCCCCTTGGCAGTGTAGATGTGAAGGATGCTGACAGAACAAGAGGACATGGTGATTCAGTTTTAAATGAGGCTGAGAAATTGTGATAATCCCCACAACCAGTTTCACACCATTCCCTTTCATTGTTGAATTTGTCTTTCCTCTTTATCTGAGTTTCTAATCACCGTGCATGAGTGGCTGACTCACTGACATCTTTTTTTAATCTTTCTAGGATTGCCAAACTGCTCTTGTGGCTCTCACTTTTAGCTTACGACTGAAAATGAAAGCGCTCCGGAAGTAAATAACTGTGGCTCAGGAGGAAGAGCAGGTTACCCGTTAATCGAAAGATTGGCAGTTCAATCCCCAGCTCCTCCAGTCAAAGTATCTTTGGGCAAGATACTGAACCTCGAATTACCTTGAAATACTGCTATTCTACCAGTGTGTGAATGTTTCTGCTTGAGCACTTAAGCTCAGTGTGTGAATGTAATGTAGTGTAAAAAGCGCTTTGAGTGGTCACAAAGACTAAAAAGGCGCTATACAGAGCATTACATTTCACTCACAGAACACAGTCTGACATACGAGTCCAGAAAGAAAATGTGTCTTGTTTAGAATCTTCTTTCAAAAAAATATGTTGACTAACTAAAAATTTATTTGAGTAGTTTGTGGTGTGTGTGTGTGCTTGTTTGTGTGTTACACACATGCATTCCTTATAAGCACTCACGTGTCTCCGTCTTCATCCTGCCTGGTGGCTCTGCTGTAGTCCATTGTGCTGAGCAGCATCCTGGCTTCTTCCAGCTTGGTGGCATCCATCGACGAACCAAAACCCAGTGTGGTCTGACTGGGATTTAGAAGGGACCAAGAAGACGAAGCCATACTGGGATCTGCGACTGTCATCGGGCACTCCTGCTCAAAGGAATACAGGATTTAATTTAAGCCAACATAAAGGTATGATTATGTGAGATGGCAGTCCACAGCAAAGAGATTTCTCTTACATATGTCATTGTATCTCCAAATCCTGGGACCTGCTGCTGTGAGCCATATTCATCTGTCATAGGGAGGTTGTAGGCTGCAGCATAGCTGGATCCTGGGTGGCTGGGGTAGTAACTGAGTGAAGACTCTGGTGCTGGAGACCACTGCTCATAGCTCACTGCCATGTCTGAGTAGCTGCTTGATGCACCTAGAATAGAGAGGGCGGATTATTATTATTCATCACTGATGACTCATTCAGTAGTATAAATATACTCTGTGAGACATCATGCTCAAGATAGAATCACAAAAAGGACAAGGCTGGTGATATTCTACAGTCTTGTTATTGTCAACAAAACTGTGGCTCTCATCTCCAAGTTTAAATCTTAATAATAAACAGGCCACACATACACACTTTCTTTTATAAAATCTTCCAAAAAACTTCCCAAATCAGTTGGGCACTGTAGCTTCTAGAAAGTGCATTTGTGTATTTACTGGGGACTTTTTACCACTGTGGATTTGGTGCAGGATGGTGAATGTGGAATTGACTCAAAATAAACTACAGTGCCCAGGTTCATCATAATGAAGGACTGTGTTACTCAGCTAACAGTGTGATTCTTTGATGCATTTGTTAACAATGGAGCTCTGTGGCAAGGAGGAACAAGCTATATCAGGCTTTTCATGGGATTGGTTGCCAATATGAAAAATCTGGAATATCACCAGAGTAATCCTTCAAGTGTTGTGCAGAAGTTGCCCTACTCATACCTGGACAGGTAAATGGTTCTGATGAAGACAATTGCTGGGGGGAAGAAAAGAAAAAAATCATGAACAAGCCCATCTTTAGGATGTAATATTATAACATATTGATGCTGAGCCCCTCTGTGTGCAACCTTACTGTAGTTGGAGGAACGGGACTTGTGCTGGCTGTAGCACAGGGAGGTGGCACTGAGGACGTCTCACGCCTTCTCTTCTGCTCCAAGAGTTTCTTCACTGTGGGCAGAGTGCAACACGGCTTCTCTTTTGGAGCTGAAAATTAAAAGTAATCCCAAAAGGAATGACTATTTGGTCATAGATTCTCTTTACATGTGATGGTGATTGGAGATCAATAAGGTTGAAACAGTCATGATTTCATTATCCATTTATCGGCTGATTATTTTTTTCAATTACTGATTCATTCTAATGCCCGTCACAATTTACCAGAGCTCCAAGTGACATCTTCAAATGTCTTGTTTTTACAGCCAGCTGTCAAAAACCTAAACAAAACAAACTAAAGCTACAAATCCTCACATTAGAGAAGCTGGACTAAAAGAATGTGTAGTGTTTTTGAAAAAATTATTAAAACAATGAATCATTTATCAGAATATTTGCTGATTTTTTTTATTTCCATATCACTAGTGCAAAACTACAAAACTAATTTTCAGGACATGAAAGCTGTGGCTAAAAACTGATCAAACTTTTTATATGATCAGACTCACATCAGCTCTCTCTTTTTTGTACTTTTAAAGCACAAATAGTCTGGATAATGTTGTAGTGTATTGACAGCCTCTCTGTGTTAGTGTTTCTTGTTTACTTCCACTGGAGTATATCTGCAATATTAGTTTCCATCTCATCAAGAAGGGCTTTGCTTTATTACAGCAGTAAATTGTCAGTAAGGTAGGTAGGTCCAAATACTACAAATATAGGCTGACACATATGAAACTACAGGAAAAACAATCATGTTGCAAGCTTAGATTATCGATTTTAAGTAATGCAGCTGTGAACAAATTCTTAAAGAGAGATAATAGCATGAAAATGTTCTCACTTGGATGATTTTGCTTGCTCAGTTTCTCCATGGTGCTTTCCATTAGATGAAGTACATCAATATCAAATCCATTATACTAAAAACTGTGTTTTCCCCCTTCTGATGCAAAAGTATCATTTCCATTAAACAGGTAAGGCAATGAGAAAAATAGGAAAGTAATATTACAAAACAGAATTCTGATGTTTCCAGCTGACATTATGTGACCACACAGGTTGTTTCCTCAAAAACTTCACCCCACACGTGAAAGATAAAGTGATATTTCCACCCTGTTTGTGGAACCGGAGTAGAAAGATAACGCTCTGAGAAACCTCCTCCATTAGGAACACAGATCGTGTGGCCTTACAAACCAGACCGATTCATCAGAAAATCTTTAGCATGGGATTGCCACTGCTTATTTTCTGTGACATCTTCCTGTCTCGCTCCATTACGCTAACAGAAACGCAAACCACATCTTCCTGCCTTTGGTGTGTCACAGGCACGTCACCTCAACACGTGTTGTTGCCTTGTGCTTTCTATTGCACCTACATGTCTGGGAGACAGAGCAGAAGAAGAGTAAAATGTTTTTTTTTGTCAGTTCGCTTTCTCTTGAAAGCATGTGAATGTTGACTGTTGTGGTGAGCCACACAGGGAAAAGACAGCTCTATTTCGCCAGAGCAAATACAAAGAGGGTGTACTTCCACAAAAAAAAAAAAAAATGCAAATATGGTCTGTGAGAGAGAAATGTGAGTTCACAGACTTGCCAGTTTAGACTTCTGTCTTCTTTCAAAAAGAACGATCTCACTTCCAGCTGAAAACCTGTCCTAAACAATAAGCCCTTGTGCTGCTGTGTGCAATGTGCCCCCACCACATCATAAAGGTCACTTTATCAGAATAAATGACATCAGTCAGTACATTTCAGTGACATCAAGTTTCATTTTCATGTTCAGAAGGTGTTACTATAGGTTACTCAATCCAGAATCATTTGATCTTTACAACAAAATGCCACCTTTGACCTTTTCACAGATGAGGTAATGTTGCAACGTGTAACTACACAATCTATATTAAACAGTAGCTGAGTGAATTTCCAGATGATAGACCTTGCTCAATACTTAACAGTCTGCTCTGACACATCAGCTGGGAGAAACTAGAAGTTAGGAAATGGCTTTTAATGGCTTGTATTAAGACATCTTGGCCCACACGCATATAAATTTGGGGTTTACACTAACTGCCCCCGCACTGCTTTGGGCTACTCTGTGCTACATTCAAATAAGAGTTGTGGAAACCCCTGGACATTGAGTCATGTGCGTGGGAGGTTGGGGATTCCGACGACCTTTCTCTTTTGGCTCGCTCCGTAGAGAAAGAAAGAAGCGGTGCAGAGCCAATTTCCTCATTTTGTGGTTTAACAGACCCAGCACACACAACAACATATGTAATCATTTGCGCCTGTGTCAAAGAAGGCATGAACAAAGAAAATGAAGTTGTCACGTCACACAGTTTGCTTGTCTAGCATTAATCAAAAGGGGATATGAAAACAAGAGTGCTGGGGTGGAGGTGCATCAGGGTTTCCCCAAATGGCCTGACTCTTGGATTCACCCGAACCATGCTTCAATTCAACGAAAACCGAGAGAAAGGCTGGTACATGAAGGTATCACTCAACTGTACACTATCAGCAGAGAGGTATTGAATATAAAATATCAATTGCCCTATTGATTTGAAAGCACAATACACATTTAAAACATCAGATATAGGATCCAAAGTCCTGAATAAAGTCAAAAGAAAATATATCAAATGTGTTTAAAATGGAGGGATAGGTATGTAATGTTGTGGGCTTATAAAGAAGTTTTATAATGCTGCCACTATTACAAACACCTATTAATTTATATTGAAAACATGTTTAGCAGTATGTTGTCCAGAAATGCAATTACAGAATTCTAAAGTAAGAATTGAAAATTTAAGTGGTTGTCATTATTGTCAAACCATTCAACATTAGGCTATAATGTTGCACTCAATGAAAATGTAAGTCACCAGCAATAACACTTGTATTCAGCCTTAACAAACAAGTTAAAAGCACATATACTCACATTTATCAAAGTGCATGTCAGAAACGGTTTTGCTTTGAAATCTTCAACAGGTCGTCCTTTTTGTCACTCTTCAAAGCGGGATAAACTGATTTACAGAGCCGGAGGGATCTGTGACGTTCTGGTTGCCTGAAGTCAAACTGGCTTGTTGTCTTATCACTGCTGCTTGTACACACAGAGCACGTTGTTCCCCATCACCGCCCCCAGCTGTGGTCCACGCCCTCTAGCAGAGGGGAAGCCACACATTCACCGTTATGTCAAGCCAAGTGAAAGGCAGAGAGATGTGGTAAACAGCTAATAGCTCTGTGAACAACAGCTATTACAAGTATACAAATAAACACAAAGGCATGTCATGGTTAGGGACAGTGGTGGAAGAAGTATTTAGATAATTTAATTAAATGTAGCAATACCATAATGTAAAAAGACATCTTAATAGTAAAAGTCCTGCATTTAAAATGTAAGTGGAAGGCACAAAAGTGTTATCAACAAAATGTATTTAAGTATTACATGTAAAAAATACCTATGATCCAGAATGTCTCCAATCTGTACATTATTAATATTGGATATTATACTAATACATTAACATTTAATGAACGTTTTAGTATTGTGGCTGGTCCAGGTTTAAGTAATTTTAACACATTTTAACTCAGCAAATGTTTGAGTTTAACATATAATAATGTATCATATTGTATAAGATGATCTCATGTTTATGTGTGATCAATGTAATAAGTAACCTGAGATGAACGGAATAAATTAATGGAATAAAAAGGTTACTGTTTGTCTCTGAAATCTGTTGCTTTGGATAAAAGCGTCTGCCAAATGAGTAAATGTGAATGTAGTTTAAGTAAGTAGCACAAAAGAAGTGATCAAGCAGAGTACCTCAAAATTGTACTGTACTTGAATAAATGTACTTGAATCAGTCATTAAACGAATAAATCGACCAATCAATCAAACACGTTTTGCCTTTAGTGCAAGGTGACAATGCTCCAGTAATGCTCCTAATCTTCAGTATTGTTCTGTATCTCAATAAAAGAGGCAAGACTAACACACCATTATAAAACATATCACATAAACACAATCCTAAAATAACGGATAAATGAATGGTCCATGGGATATTTAATTACATATTGTTAGAGAAAACTTAATCAGGGTAAAGTCTGCCTTTTATTCTTATTAACTAATCATAGAAATATAATTTACTCCAATGTCAACACAAACTTTTAAATAACTAAATATAACCTAAATATCTTCAGCTTTAGAAAACAAACATCACTTTTCAAAATGAGATTGAGAGCAGGCTCCACTCTGTGTTTTGAATTTTGATAGTTGTCCTAATGGTTTGTTTATTTGGCTAATAGATGAGTGTGTGTTTCACAAACTGTAGTTTCTTGTAGGTACCCTGTCTAGACACAACCTTCCAGGAACCTCTGTGTCACCTCAAAAACACCAACATCAGGACATCATATTGGAACAAAGTGATGAATCTCTTTTTACCACCTGACTAAAACTTTGAGTGGCTGTATTTGATCCAAAAACCATCAGCAAACAACACAACAGAAGAGAGAGATGTAAATATGTGATGTAAATATCATAATAGCATCAAGCAGAGGTTTTCAAAGCGGGAAGTGGACCTCCCCAGGGCGGTGCCAAATGGTTTCAGGGGAGGCTCAGTGAATTGAAGTGAAAAAATATTACATTGGTCATTACAGTATTGTAGTTATCAAAGGGAGATCACATATATCACATAAAAGTGTGTGATTTGGTTAAAGTGATACTGCAGAGACACAGTAGTTTGGGGGAATTTTCCTGTTTTTCCCACCTTCCCAGTGTCAGGAACTTTTTACATTTTTATGTATTTGGTGTAGTCTAAGTTGTGTCAAACAGCAAAATTAGGCTATCTTGGCTCAACTGAGTGTCAACGGGACCAACCAGAATAATAATGATAGTCTCTGAAAACCCCTGGTATAAAACACAAAATTATAGGACCAAAGTGAAATAACAATTGAGCCAAATAACAAAATAAAATGCAGACTACAATGTATTAAGGAAAGTGAATGAAATGGTGTGTTTTTTATTCTTTTGTAAATGAAGATCTTGAAATCTCAGTCTCAGATCAGCCGTCTTCAGTGTTCACAGACATTTTTAACACCTCACTAGAGACAGGCCATGTGCCTGCCTGCTTCAAAGCCTCCACCATCATCCCTGTCCCCAAAAAACCAAGGACCACAGGACTAAATGACTACAGACCTATTGCCCTGACCTCTGTGGTAATGAAGTCTTTTGAGTGCCTTGTGTTGTCCCACCTTAAATCCATCACAGACCCACTTCTGGACGCTCTGCAGTTTGCCTACAGAACAGATCTGTAAATGATGCAGTAAATATGACCCTTCATGTCATCTTCCAGCACCTACGCTAGGATCCTGTTTGTGGATTTCAGCTCATGAAGTCTCTAACAAGGCCAGGGTCCCTCACTGACACCCCCCCCCCCTTTCCTGGGAGAGCTTGTCCTGCAGCAGGACAAGCTCTCCCAGCTGAACGTGCCTGACTCCAACTGCAGGAGGTTCACAGACTTCCTGACGGACAGGAAGCAGCACATGAAGCTGGGAAGACATGTCTCTGATTCCAGGACCATCAGCACCGGTTCCCCTCAAGGCTGCGTTGTTTCCACCCTGCTCTTCGCTCTGTACACCAACAGCTGAACCTCCAGTCACCCGTCCATCAAACTCCTGAAGTTTGCAGATGACACCACCCTCATTGGGCTCATTTCTGGTGGGAATGAGTCCGCCTACAGGTGGGAGATTGACCATCTGGTGACCTCAACCTCCTGCTCTGAAGACAGTGGAGATGGCAGTGGACTCCCAGTTGCCACTGTAGACTCTTTCCATTGCCTGGGCACCATCATCTCCCTGGAACCCAAATGGGAGCTGAACATCACCCCCCCTTTACCAAAAAGGCCCAGCAGAGGATGTACTTCCTGCGGCAGTTGAAGAAGTTCAGCCTGCCAAAGACAATGATGACGCACTTCTACACTACTATCATTGAGTCCATCCTCACATCCTACATCACCATCTGGTATGCTGCTGCCACTGCCAGGGACAGGGACAGGCAAGCTGCAGCGCATCATTTACTCTGCAGAGAAGTAGATTGGGTGCAATCTTCCATCACATCAGGAACTGTACGCCTCCAGAACTCTAAAGCAAGCAGGCAAGATTGCAGCTGACCCCTCCCACCCCGGACACAAACTGTTTCAGACTCTCCCCTCTGGCAAGAGGCCGCGGTCAATAAGGACTAAAACCTCTCGCCACAGAAGCAGCTTCTTCCCGTCTGCAGCTATCATTAACAAGGCCCGGGTCCCTCACTGACACTCTTCCCTTTCAAATAACACTAATGTTTCTGCCTGTCTAAATATTATTTCATTTCATTTCATATCATGCACCAACCTGGCACATTGCACATATTTTTTTATTAATTGTTAATCGTTGTTGTTCTATATTTTTATATTTTGTCAATTTATGTATTTATATACACAATATTATCTTCCGTTGCAATACGTCTGCACAACACAAACCGGAGCAATGTACGTGTAAATATCTGCCACATTTGTATTTTGTTTTTTCTCTGCAAATAGTTGTACTATTTTCCCTATTCTTTTATTATTCTTATATGACTTGCATTTGTTTATTACATATTTATATATTTCTGCATTTATTTATGTCAACTCTATGTTTGCCTCATCACCAAAGCAAATTCCTCGTACGTGTAAAATACTACTTGGCAATAAAGCTCTTTCTGATTCTGAGGTTATCAATTATTTTCTTAAGGTGAAAACAATTTTAAAGGTGCTTTCCTGTCCCAAAGAACAGACAAATGGCCAGAAGAACATAGGGATCTAAAGGAAACATATTAACTTAAAAGAATGCCTGACACATATTCAAGGGTTATGTTTGTAACTTCTAAATGTATAACAAAATCTTGAAATCTTCTTGTCTTCTGATTATTTGCAATTTATAAATGTTTTAAAATACAGAAAGAAAGCGATACAAAACGAAACAAAAATTAAGAAAGGAAGAAGTAACAAAGAAACAAGAAGGCAATGTATGTTTGACAACAGGCGATATATGTATGTACTGTACAGGACAAAATTGCTGTAGGTCTGCGACAGGTTACATGTCAGTTTCTTTTCTCCCAGGCCTATATAGTTGACAGTTACTTTTGTGGCTTTGAGCACAACATCCTGCTGAATACATGTATGTGTTTATTTATGTAAAGTATTTGATATGAACGTTTGTGTCTCTCTGTGGATGTGTTACTGTAAATGTGTTTTTGATCTAAAGTCATCAACAATCCATATACTGTGGAATACAATCTACTTATGGAGAACATTTAGCTTTTACGTGCTTTGTATAGCATCCCCATCTGGAATCTTTTCACCAATCTAGCCTACATTATTTTAGATGAAACTGGACCATGATCCCTTTTTGTTCATTGGAAGGCATTTATAGTCCAAAGAAAGAAGCGCTTTTTGACAAAACAAAGATATAATGAAGAGCAAAAGTGTGTGAAACTTATACACTAGATTTTCAAAAGCATCAATCTGAAGGATGAATGCTGTCAATAGAAGTCTGACAGCTCCATCTGCTGTTACAGAGTCAGACTCAATCTAATTCAAAGGCAAGGCACTGCAAAACATAACTGGAGACTAACCACACAAATAAATTCAACTGTTTTGTCATAGAACTAACACCCTTTAGGATTTTAAAGCTGACAAGTTTACAGGCTGACCGGCTAGGTGAAGGAACTGAGCCAAAATTGGTTGTGTAAAAATGTGTTTAATCAAAGCATAAATCCTTGAATGTCACTGTGAGTGTATCCACATACTGAGTAAAGAGTCAGAGTCGAGAGTGAAGAACACAGGGTTAGCATTTAAAGAGCCCATGTTCTTTTTGCACCTTTCCATCGATGATCTGTGAGCAGGCCCTGAAGACGATCTAGCACATGTTATCTGCAGTGAGTAACAACAAGCAACAACGGATGTAGAGAACAGCCTCATACTTTTTTTTAAACCTAGATTTGTTGATATTTAAAACTAAGAGAGGTAAAACATTCGTTGTTCATTATCTTTTCTAATATTTTATTTCTGTGAATTGTGTGGGTTTATTTTGTTATTTTGGAAGTGAGAGTGCAAGGTCCTAGACAATCTTATCAGGGACATTTAAGTGTAATCTACTCTATTCTATCATAATCTGTATCTTCTCTGTCACAGTTAAACCATAAACCACCCGCCCCGCAGAGGA